AATGACACAACTTCACAGGCAGTCTACTTTGAGGACCCTGAGAACAGGGACAGGAATTGCTTGCTTTTACCAGGGTTGACCAAGGGAAGCCTAGATCTGTGCACCTTGCTTGCTTGTGGAATTTAGTGGCATGAACCAGAATCATATATGCATGTCACGCTATTTGTACATACCTATGGGAGTTTAACTTAAGTTTTCCTAGTAGTTAAATATAGGTGGTCAAATGCTGTTTTCAGAACAGACATAAACTGGGAAGCCTGGAACTCACTCTACTCTCCAGAGTGCTGAATTCAATTTATGCTGGTGAACATGCTCTGAATGAAAGTAAACCGAAGCATGCTTTCATCATTCAAGAGGTTGCGCTTCCCTCCTGTAGTCATTCTTATAGGCTGAGGGCATCCAAAGGAATTGGGATGTGTGCAATATAACCATAACCGTATGTATACACTGCTCTTATTATTTCCAGACTGAAAAATGCATCAAATGAAGGCATTCTTTCCTCAAAAATATTTTACATTCGTACTATTCTCGTTCTCATAAACAAAAAAGCTAGAGTTACTTTTTTCCCCCCTATTTTTATGGCTAGAGATGGCTGAACAGTTTCTTTAAGGAACCAGTTAAGAACAGAATCAGACAGAGACTTCTTCCAAAAGAAATTTTCAGTCCATATGCTTGTGAACTTGGTGAAATTGCAACAAATAAAAAGGAGTGTTGTGGGAACCAATAGAAAAACTGAAAATTGCTACAGTTTCCCCTGTAATGATCACATCAATTAATTAATTTATTGATTTTATTTCCACCGAATGTGTTCTGAAATGTAAGTTGTAAGATAGCTTATGGGACACTCATTTTCTCTTCATATCACAATTGTTACTAATTTCAGCTTTCTTTTTTTAAGAACTTATTTTCTTTTTTCTTTTTTTTCTTTTTTTTTCTTTTTTTTTCGTTCTAGTGAAACAATCTTTTACTTCCTGTTCCAATAGAGAAAAATCTGCATAGCTTCCATAACAGAAGAGGTCAGTCTTCACTTCGTACAGCAGTTTCATCATGAAAGTAGGAAGATTTACAGAACTGTTAGATAGGGTACTGTATCATATGTTCAGCCTTGTAGATTATCATATTAATATTCAAATAATGTAGCAGTGCCTACATGCATAAAAGGCAGTTTAGCACTTCAAATTATTTCCTATGTAATAAAATGCTACAATTAAACTTATTAGCCAAACTTTGGGGAGTAGATGGATGGAAATCCGGTGTCAGAATCTGCTTTTGTTTGTTTTTAACATATGATCCTTGCAGTGTCATAGCGCAAAGGTCCTGATAATCTTATTTGTCCTCTTTGAAGGAGAATGGCATTCATGGTGCCAATGCTTGTTTGCATGTTGCAAAAGGCAAAATGCTCTGTGGACAGCAAAACTAAGTAACATATTTGCAAAAAGGATATTACTCCACCTTAAATCTCCAGTTCAAAATGAGTGCAGAGAATACTGTCATGTGAACTTGAGGTTCAAGACTATACCCATGCCCAAGATCCCTGATTACCAACATCAAACTTTGGCTTACAGTCAAATTTAATGCTATTGCTTCGCCAGTCTGGGAAGCTCAAGCAGAAAACAAAAACTATCTCTTTACATCTTCCAAACAGCCTGAACAACAAGTTCAAGCCACACATGGTGAAATTCTTCCCACACTTGATCATGGGAAATAAAAGATGCTATAGCTACAGTAGAAAAGTACATGGCATTCAACAATGTGTCCATGTGTTTTAGGAGACCAGCTCTGTAAGTGGAATTCACAAACCTTAAGTAGATTTTTATGAAACCAGGCACTGCATGTAGAAAATTCAGGTCCTCAGAATAGAATTTACTGTGAACAGATGAATGCAGGAAGGGTTTTTTGAAACCATATCTTTTATGTATGGTCCTAAATAAATGGTTTCCAGCCTTTAACTTTCATATTATTCTTTTATGTTTCTGGCATGACTGGCTGATATTTCTTTGAAATATATCCCTTAGAAGAAAGAGTGATTAATATATAAGGAGCAGACTGGTTTGGTCTTATGTTTATTTCATTCTGGGTGCACCATAAACTGAGGATCACAAAGCAGCCAAGGACAAGGTTCTGAAGGGTCCAATTGATAGAGAAGCAAGAAGTGCTAAGACTGAGCAGATTAAAGATATCAGAGAAGAATAAATACCAATAAATTTGTTGTTGTTGTTTTCCAATGGCATGGGAAATATAACTGAGAAATTAAGAAAGTAAGAACTTTCTGGGATAGTCACTGTAAGGAGTGAAAGACACTTCAAAGAGATGAACAATTATGATAATTTTTGAAAAGGCACATAAAATAGTAATATTTCTCCATTGGCAAAAGAAAATAATATACTAATAATGTTATATAAAGTAAAATAATGTAAATTGTGATAGCTTGCTTTCCCTGTCAACTGTGTGACTGTAAAAAAATAAGAAACAACTCATTTGGAATGCTGGCATTTTTGATGTCAGTCCTTCTTCTGTTACAGAAAACCAAAAAGAATAAGGAAGAAAAAAAAAGAAAAAAATAATACCTTCCTTCTTTTAACATGATTAGAATGTTTAACAACAGAACAGAATCAGGAATTTGATGACAGAGGTTCCCTTCCTTCCAAATTAATTTAAAAACAAACAAAAAACAAAGACAAAACAAATAACAAAAAATATCATAGTGGTTCAGAAAAGGCAACAGCAATAGAAATCTTTTTTTTTTTTTTTTTTTTTTTTTTTCCCCCATGAGTTAACGTAAGATGTAAGGAAGTATTGCTTTTGGTTTTGCCAAACATTGGAGACAAAGAACAAACTGGTGAAGCAGCCTGTTTAGACTACTTGATATGAAAGGATGCTGCAAAGCCTTCCACTTTAGCCAACACCTATTTCTCTTCTTTTTTCAGGTTGAGTTAAGAAATGACATTACTAACTATTTACAATTAGCTGTATACCGGTAGGAAAACACAAGGATGGGGAGGAAGGCAATTCTAAGCAAAAGTACACTGTTACTCATGCCTACTGTTTTTGACAACACAAAGAAGCCCAAGCTAAATCCTGCCTTAGCAAAGTAAGCCCGGCTCTTTCTGTGCGTTTTTCCAAGGGAAACCATATAAGGCAGATAACAGGGAGGGACGCTCTGGCAGCAAGGGTGGGACTTGATAAAAAGGCAGGGGAGGGAACGTGGGGGGAGAAAGTTGAGCAGCCAGACTGCCTGCACCTACTCGAGACTGTCATATGGAGCTGAGGGAGCAGCAGCGGGCCAGGAGGACACGCGACAAGAGGGAGGAGGTACTGTTTGCCAAGTGGTTTCATGCTGTTTTTCTGTTCTTTATTTCTGACTCTGAGGAGCTCCACATTTTGATAATGCAGGCTAGCTACTCTCTTTCGAGCATCCTCACTTGCAGCTGCTGGATAGCCAACCTCTGCTACAACCACTTGTAGCTTCAGCACCCAAAAATGAATGATATGGGGTGTAGATACTTCTAATAAGTTTCACTCACATACTTGTAGACTGGTTCAGCTGAAAGGCTTTATGTTTTAAGTTTGCTTAAGTAAAACTTAAGTTTACTGTTTGGACCCTAAAGCTTTTCAATGTTAAGAGAAAGAATGATAAGGAGAAAGAAGTTGTTCTCTGTCAGCTGTGAGATTAATGTAGAAATACATCAATCCATCTTACTAGTACCTGTGGTAAGAAATGAGCTCTTCTGTAACTAATCCACTACTCCATGTAAATTTTCTGAGGAATAACTTGGATTTTGTCAAGTAATTTGGAGGACTTTGTTTGGGAGTACTGAAGGAGCAGTTTTTCTACTTACACATGGAGATCTTCGAGAAACAAGAAACAATGAAAAGTAAGCTTCATTGAAAAGGGAGGATGAAGCATGAAATTCTGTCTTTCTCTAAGTGTTTCTGTTCTGTAGAGACAGAACAGAAGTCAACAGTGAGTCAACATGTGAGTGTGAGTTTCTGACAGAGGTGCTGTCAGCTGCAATGCTTAAGCATGCTGGCTTTTCATTGTGGTTATCACAATACTTTATGATATGACATCACAGCCATAATTTCGACATTAATGTCAGCAGTGTTTTGTGCTTTGAAACTAAATAAAAGCTTTCACAATACCTTCAATGTTTTCCTGTGCATAGCAGTTATCACTTTATCTAAAAGTTTTAAGTAAGGAAGCTCTTCATAGGAAATGAATCAATACAAAAATTGTCACTTCACAAAGCAAACATTTGACAAAATGCTTACTATTGCTAATAATACTTATATATTAGCAGCAATTTAGTTCTGTCTTGCAAAATATATTCTGAGCTTTAAGAGCCTTATTTACTGTTCGGTTTTCCGTAGGTACTTCTTTGAGCCTACCAAAGCTAGCAGCAAATACTAAACTTCTTGAAGAAAACCAAGTATCAGGCCAGAATTCTTTGATCTTTTCCCTTGTAGAAATATTAGTCTCCCAATGAGATTTAGTATGAACAAGATCCTACAATTTATAACTGACAAAAAAATTCTTCCTGAGGATGGTGGACTGCAAGACTGTATACTATGAGGTGACAAGAATAATTCATTCTGATGTTAAAATCTTTCAACAGCATCGATTTTCTAGTCAAGATCTCTTGAGATGTTAGGTGTTTAAATTCCCTATTCACAACATCCACCTAATGTGCTCCAGGGAATAGCAAGTGTATAAATTCCAGGAAATTACTGCAGTTCTACCTCTAATCATGACAATTCAGGAATTGTTTGACTTAATATCATAGGATCAGCTGTCAGGACTGAACTCTGTACTAGTATTGCAGTATTTTATTACTTTTAAGCTTCCTTCTTTAAAATGTAATTTTGAATCTTAATTTCGTATCTTCCTGCATAAGTCTTAACCTCTTTCTTGTTCCAGCATTCAGTTAAGTCTGGCATCCAGCATATGCCAGTTGTCTAATATGTTCTTCTGATTTAATTTCAGAGGCTCTGAGTGACAGCAGGTGACAGGCTGACAGCTCACATTCGTGTCACGAAGCAGTTCCATTATAACTGCAGAAAGTCACCTTATCAGCTACTGGAGAACATCTTGGGCTAGGAGGACATACAATACCCTCTTCTATGATTTTAAATATTGATCAGGACTCCTAATACATATAAGTTGTTACAGAATGTCCTATGGAGAAACTGTTGGGCACCCAATGTATAACCTCTGTGGGCAGGTTCAAAGCTCCAGTTCCCAGCTAAGCAGTCTGGATGGAAATAGGAAGTCTGCAACCTTGCTGGAAGTAAGAGGAAACTTAAACAATATGCATTACTCTTCAGTGGCCTTGGATTCAGACACCACAGTGACTAATGGATCCGGAATTCCCTGTAACACTGAGGAAAGCACGAAGGCTTTAAGACGAAGTGAAATCCACAGGGCCTGCGCAACAAAGTGTTTCTATGACCGTTACTTAGCTAAAACTAGTATGCAAGGAGATGTCTACAACTTCCTGGAAAGGCCTAGTGGATGGAAGTGTTTTATCTATCATTTTACTGTGTAAGTATCCGCATCTTCACGTAATTTTTGGTGTAAGAAATATTTGAAACTGTCCATGGGATCAACAAGTAATCATAGTATTTTAGCTCCAAGGCTGAATACCATCATCACATGAGTGATCTTATTGAAACTAATGAGCTGCTGTATCTATTGACATTTCCAGTGGAGCACCTTTTTTCTTTATTTGATGTTTGTCATCCAAAATACATGTGGTATTTGATATTTCTGAGGTGAGGTCCTATATTATCATAGCAGTTTTTAGTGCTGCTCTAGCTGCCTGACATTTCTCCAGCTTCAGATACTGCAGATTTTTACAGGGAATATTGAAGTTTAGCTGTGATCAGATGTACAAGATATATTTATATTTTATAAGTGTCTTTTGCTCATGCTGAAGTGCAAACCCAAGCAATTTGTTGGCAAATATTTGGTCAGAAGATTATTAATTTGCACTAATTTACAGGAGAGAATAATCATAGAGAATCATTTAAGTCTTTGCTTTTATTGCAAAAAGTCTTTGCTTTTATTATAAAATTAATGTTCTCAAGAAAGGCAGAATGTTGAGATTTTTTTTTTTTTTATCTTGGGTAGGCTTTCCTAAGGCCTGAAAGCATTCTGCAAAAACCAGTAACTGTTACTGGAATCAGGAACTGCCCAGAGAAAAATGCAGAAAAAAATATAGTAATTATATAAATTGAAAATGAATAATAATGCTTCTTTATACTCTTAAGGTATTTTTCTTATTAATATTTGTTTCTTCCTCTAGATTATCTTTGGCTGTTGTAAAAAGATGCTTTGACTTGTTCATTTTTGTCAAGCAAAAGGATAGGACCTCTTTCATGGACTATGCTTATAGAATATAATCATATTTAAGGCATATGTAATTTGTGATATTATCAACAGCAAAATAATTATTTTCCTTAACAGTATAAGAATTTCTAACTAAAATTAAATAATATGTACATTGACATCTATTTTAAAAGTTTTCCTTTAGGAATGCACGAAAAAGAAACTTTTTGAACATAATTTCTGGTGAAAATAAGTTATGTTTTTGCCTTAATTATATTTGTCCTAATAATTGTCGTAATAACTAAAGGGTTTTTTTTAACAAAATATGTACTACATGTTAAAAACAATAACTTTACAGGTTATTAAAAATGTAAAAATTCTTAAGGCAATAAAGTGTTAATCTCAAATATAAGTAATTTTATAGTGAGAGAAAGATGTAATATATTTTAAAAAATATTTTCCATGTTATATCTGTATTTTGGGGGTAACATGTAGAAATAATCTGATGATTTTAATGATTATTATTTTTGTAATAAATCCAATCTTCTCTGCATGTAGCAGAAATTTTAAAAATCTGTCTGTGTAGCCTGAGAGGAATGATTTGCAGCTTCCCTTAGTGGTCTTTTTGTCCTTCATTATAATACAAAGGCCACATAACTTATTTACAAGTTTGTGGGAAATTTCTATCCAAATGAGACTGGAGCCTGATACAAAGAACGTAACTCCTCTTAACAAAAAAAACAAACAAACAAACAAACAAACAAAAACCCAGCAAGGAACAGCAAGTGCTCTAGGATGTAACATTCCTTTCGCATTCTGAAGTTGCAACATAAACTCTCGTCTCATGTAATATTTATAGTGTCCCTGATACCTCAAGTTTCTTCTAGGGGAGTAAACACATGCTTCCTGACTCTATCAGGTATATTAGAAAAGGGAATTATTTTTTGTCTAATTAAATCTGGAATTTGTGTTATTTTAATGGAGTTATTTCAGGTGAAATTTATGACCATTCCTAGAACAAAGTCTCAAGGAGTGACTGGATTTTTTTTGAGAATTCTCCCTCTCATTCTCATTTAGGTAGTTTTCAGATACACTGATAATTGTGAAATACTTGCTCAGAAGTATTTTGGAAGCATAGAAAACCTCAGAAACAGGGTAGAGAGTTGCACTGACAGGTTAGAAGGAGATAAGGGCTTCAGAAACATCTGATATGTGCAATAGCATATATTGATCCCAACCAAACAGTTTCTGCTGTTATTTAAGAACCTTAAGATGCCGGATATCAACATAGGTTAGAGCCCAGCTGCTGGACCATATGGCACTCAATCCAGAAGCAGCAGTGTGTGCCAGGCTTGAATTTGATTTCTAAGCTCAGCTATGCACTTGTTTAAATCCCATCCACATGTCAAGGTGCTATGGAGTGACACTCAGATTTTCTCTCTTGAGGGAGAAATACGATATGCAAGTTTCTTGCTCTTATAAATTGGTGATGAGTTATGTATGGTAATGGCAAATCCACAGCTAAATAACTTATTTTTAAGTGGAGTCTTATTCATGTGATGAGTTTACATTTCTTTGCATATATATATATGTATGTATATATACTTAATTGCAAACAGAATGGCAAATGACTCATAATTTAAAATATTGTGCTCATTTAGTTAAAATACAATGTTCACATGTATATAAAGAGAGTGGGAAAGGATGAGGGCAAATAGTTCTCCTGAGGAAGATTTGACCTCAATTTATATATCAGTTAGCAAAGATAATAAAATAAAAGCAAAATCCAACGTGTGCAACTAACATGCTAGCATGTAAGTGACGGAGAATTTTTATACTTCCAAGTCTTTGGAGACCACTTGTATATTTGCCTATAGACCGAGGATGGAAATAGACTGTTTTTTCTGCCATGTTTTTGGAGTCAAAGAACAAGGAGGAGGGAATAATTTAAGCTTACTGAAAGGAAAAGATTAATGTACACTCACATGCATTTACACATGTAAGTGATGAATGATAATAGGAGAATATTATGGTTTTCCTTATATGCAGGCAAAAGAGTTAATTGCTTGCTTTCACTTGCTAATCTGTTCAGGGAGTTAGTAGCAAGAGCATCTTGCATCCACATAAATCTGTCTTCACCACAGTGCAGCCCTCTATTGAAGATACCTGAAGCTGGGTGGAGTGGCCGACACTCCGGAGGGCTGTGCTGCCATCCAGAGAGCAGGGCAGAGAGGAACCTCATGAGGTTCAACAAGGACAAGTGCAGGGTCCTGCACCTGGGGACAAATAATCCCAGGCATCAGTACAGATTAGAGGTCGACCTGCTGGAGGGCAGCTCCATGGAGAGGGACCTGGGAGTCCTGCTTGACACCAAGTTAACCATGAGTCAGCAGTGTGCCCTTGTGGCCAAGAAGGCCAATGGGATCCTGGCCTGCATGAGGAGGAGTGTTGCCAACAGGTCGAGGGAGGTGATCCTGCCCCTCTACTCAGCTCTGGTGGGACTGCACCTGGAGTACTGTGTGCAGTTCTGGAATCCCCAGTATAAGAGGGATGTGGAGCTCCTCGAGAGGGTCCAGCACAGAGCAACAAAGATGATTAATGGACTGGAACATCTCTTGTATGAGGAAAGACTGACCTGGGCCTGTTCAGCTTGGAGAAGAGAAGGCTGAGAGGGGATATGATTAACATGTATAAATACATGAAGGGAGATTGTAGAGAGGAGGGGACCAAGCTTTTCTCAGTGGTGGCCAGTGACAGGACAAGGGGTAATGAGTGCAAGCTGAAACAAAGGTGGTTCCATCTCCAGGTGAGGAGGAACTTGTTTACTGTGGGGATGATAGAGCCCTGGCACAGTCTGCCCAGGGAGGTTGTGGAGTCTCCTACTCTGGAGGTCTTCAAAACCTGCCTGGAGACCACCCTGTGCCACATGCTCTAGGTGTCCCTGCTTGAGCAGGAAGGTTGGACTAGATGATCTCTAGAGGTCCCTTCCAATCTTGAAGATTCTGTAATTCTGTGATACCCAACAATATATCTTCTTTGGGTAATCTTGTCTGCCAGGGTTTTACAATGATATATTAGCTGCGCTAGCTTGGTCCCAGGAAGAGTCCAGCTGGGGATTTGCACTGGGGCTATTTGGTCCTGTATCTCAGTAAGCACCATGGATCCATATTACTGCACCAGATATGCCCTATTCTTTTCATTCACTGCAATCCAACCCACTTGTCCAGTCTGTATCATCTCTCTGGAACCTCCAGCATCTTCTAATTTTCGTCTTTTCAGCTGCTAGACGACTAAACTAAAAGCAAGCTGAGGAAACCTTGGTGGGAAGTACTTGGACTACGGAGATGGGGACACAGGAGAACCTGGGACAGAAGATTATAATGGATTGGCTCAGAAACTGAGACATTTACAGCGATGCTGACATTGGAGGAAAAGAGATACAAATAGGCTACATCACGAACAAAAAGAAATAGACTCAGACTGGAAGGACAAAGTATCAAGGACTAGCGGCTTTTGGCGATCAGAAGGCTGGCAGGACACAAGGAGCTGCAATTGTGGGACAGCTGAAACTGATCAAGAAGCTCAGAGAGTGCCACTGGGAGGAAGAAGGGATGAGGAGGACAGCTGCAAAGAAAGGAGAAGGAGGAACATGGAATTCATGACGGGAATAGGAACCTTTCACCCATAGGCAACTGGTTTGAATCTGGTCCAAGTCAATAGTGAAGAAGTAATGCCTGTGGGGAGATATCAAAGGAGCTGTTGGTTTTGATCCAATTCTTAGTGAACGGATGTCAGCATCATTGCTGGACTTCGCACAGCTGGAAGTCTTGCTGGCAGTCAATAGAGAAACCACAGGCTGGTTGAGAAGGCAGGCAAGTTCACAGCAAGAAGGAGGCCCATAAGAGAGACTCTTCTATTGTATTCTCAGGCCTGCCACTTTCTTACTGTGTGATGTAGTGAAAGTTCAAGTGAGAACTTGCAGCTGTTCAAAGTTATTTTGTCCTGGTTTGACCACTTGCTTAATGAGTGCTAGACCTTTCTCTCATTTAAAAGTTAGGCCAATCTTTATATCTCATAATCTCCCATTAGATAAGGTGGGTTGATTTTACAGACCATTGCTAAAAATCTGTCTTCAGTTTTCCAGCCCTCACTTACTTTAGCTGTCTGATTTGCTCTTGCCAAATGTTGTTGTCCCTTATATCCTTGTATCACAC